TCTAGTTCTGAATAAATGATAACATTCTGCACAATTCTCATTACTCAAACTATATAAGAAGAGCATATTCGTCAAAATCAGTCCTTTAACTTTTTGCTACTATTGTATGTATTAAACACCCTTAAGCTTTTCGTACATGAAATACATATACTTCATTATTTTCTCTATCTTTTAACTTATATTAAAATTTTGAAATTTAATTTTTTATTTTATTAATTAAAACTGCAAAATTTTTTCTGCAATATTAGTTGTGCTGGTGCATTATTAATTATAGTTATAAAAAGATCAAAATAGAGTAGTTTATTTTGTTTTTATAATTCTATGTGTTTTTTTTTCTTATTATATAAAAAATTTTATATAGGTACTAATAGTCGCGAAAATGTGATAAATATGAGTTAAGCTGTAATAATATAAAGAAAATAAAGATTTAGCTATTACAGATCTGTAAAACATCAATTAAATAAAGTTTATTCATTCTTAATGCTAAATGGTTTTTTGAAACTTTATTTTAGTTTTTTTTAAATTACCATTTTACTAAGTCCCCAAAATTACCTTACCATTTATCGTAATTTACCAAATAAATTATCGTCAGATTGGGTCATTTTCATCTCTAACTTGTTGTCATACTAGGCCCGTTCTATAATACACCATATTTCGGTGTTATAAGTCATAAATCATGATAATTCTACAAAATATGTTATATGTCGATATCATAAGCAGTAAAATTGATCATTCACAGTCGAATGTGAAGAGAATACTCGAAGAGAATATAACGAGATACCTACTGTGAAAAATATTGACAACGAATTTTGTCTTGCGTGCCATTTCGTTATTATGTGCTTATAATAGTAAAAATGTGACTTGTCTCGTACTTATCAAAGTCGTAAAAATGGATGAAAACTAAAGTTACTTTTTAATTTTATACATAAAAGCATATTTTTTACTCCTTTTAGCAGCTGACAAATCATGAGTTTTCTTATCTGAATAGGCTTCATTTTACATGCCTTTTACGTCTATTTACTGACTGTCAGGAGAGAAAAGAATAGTTTTCAACCATTTTTACAAATATTTTAAAGCGATTCCATTTTTTTTATTTTATCCAAATTATCTTTATTTACAAATGATAGGCAAGAAACTTTTATGTGTCATTTATCGCTTATGACGTTACGATTCCAATATGGCCGCAGTGAGAAACCTTAAAAATGTTGCGGCCAAGCAGGTTGTCGGTAGAAAGGCGGATATTTTTGTGATACCTTTACATTAGAATATTCTCGGAATTGAATGCTTTAATGTAAAATATATTAATTTTTATTAACTCGTAAAGGCTACGTCTCTTTTGAATGGTTTTGTTTAACACAAAGTTTTGAAAACAACGTTCTTTTTTCAAAAATATAATATTATCAATCGATTGGTCAGAAAATTTTACATTAAGAAACACACATTTTGCTTTAATTTTGCTTTTTATTTTCAAAAGATATAAAACTTTAACGCTTGGCTCGAATTTGCACCTAGGTGTCCTTTACAGGTTAATAAAACAGTTTAAAATTGTTTCTTTAAAATAAAATTAAAAAAAGAATAGAAACGTCATTTTCAAAAATTTTTCAATATCAATAACGTAACAATTTGTAGTCAGTCAATTAAACTTGAATAAATGATAACATTCTGCACAATTCTTATTACTCAAACTATATGAGAAGAGTATATTGTTACGTAAAGCTTGTTTGGTTTTTGCCATCAATTTGTTGTCAAGTCATGTCAGCAAGCTTTGCTTGTTTTTTGCCATCAAGTTATGTCAGCAAATTTTATTTGATTTTTGTCGACAATTTGCTGGTATAGCACATCAGCAGATTTTTTCAACAAATCTTGAGTCTAATGATGACACGTATGTACATATGACTATGGATTTGCAGTGGAAATCTGATTGAATTTGCTGCCAATCTGCCAGCAAATTGCTACCATTTTCCTATCAAATTACAATCTGTTTTCTTATGTTAGAAGTTATTACATTTACAAAGTTTTCTAATAAAATTATCTTAAAAAACCTAATTTTATATACATAAAAATGCTCTTTTTTTTTTAGAAACGTCATAAGTAAACATTTTTTAAGTTAGAAGTTTCTTTTTTAGAAATGAGTTTTAAAAGTGATATATTTTACCTAATATATAAGTTAATGAAGCATTGTTCATATATTTATTTTTAGTACTACAGTTGTAAAATATTTTTTTCAATTCTCCAAAAGTTAGATTTTTCAACTTATGTGGTTTCTTAAATGATCTAATTAAGTATTTTTTAAATGTTAGTAAATATTTTTTAATATAAATCTTAAATTCTTTTTCATATAGAACACACATGTATTTACTAATATTTTATACACATAGGTAGAAGCATTCGTGGAGTCAGCTGTACAATATTATGGTTTGGAGATAATACGAAAGCAACGACCAATCCAATCCGCATTATCTGCATTACTGGAAGAGAAACATAATTTAAAAGCTGTTCTCATGGGTACGAGAAAAGGTGATCCAGGTTCTGAAAATTTACAAGCATTTACATCCACTGATTCAACTTGGCCACAATTAATGCGTGTAAATCCTATCTTGCATTGGTCGTACAATCAAGTATGGACATTCTTATTAAAGCATAATATTCCTTATTGCTCGCTCTATGATCAAGGCTATACGAGTATTGGCAATAGAAATACTACAGTGCAAAATCCATTGTTAAAAGATCCTAATAATCCTTCGTTTTATTTACCAGCATACACTTTGGCAGATAAATCTGCCGAAAGAGAAGGCAGAGAGCGTGATAAAAAATAATCTAATTTTTTAAAATTCAATATATTCCATGATTAGCAAATAAAAATTTTTATATATTAAGTAGTGTTGTTAATGTATTATTACTAGTATTAATTATTTTTTGATAAATTTATTTTTATTTTTATGATTATATTGTAACACAAATATAATAAATCTTTTGAAAAATTATATTAATTTCTTAATATGTTTAAGTTTAATGATGAGTTTTATGCACATATTATTCGAATGTTTTTATTTGATACTTGCAATTTTACTTGTAAAATTTGTAAAATAAACTATTTTTGTAATATAAAATAAATTATTTTTAACGAAGATTATTGAATATTTTTTAAATTCAAGAATTTGACCTCACAACCTGTTCAAAATCAATGCTCTAATATGGATTCTATTACTAACAGATATATAATTTGATAGTTAACTGACTTAATATATAGCATACATACATACCAACAGCAAATTGAGGATTATCTTCGGCTGATCTTAGTCGGAAGCCATTTAAGTCTGGATTTAAATGGATTAAGGTTTTATAAATTTGAATCACCGCAATGTATATAAAGATTCAACGTTATAAAGAAGTGAAGTAAAGTCAAGAACTGATAGATCAACATGTTCAATAGAAGCATTCATTGGGAGGCAAGAGTTCTGTCAGCAGAGCCATCACGATTATTAGGATGGAATATCCCTGCTGAGGAATTGATCTATATACCGGAACATTGGCTGATCTTTCCTGAACCCAATCCCTCCCTTCACTATTTACTGGCCATTGTGTACATACTTTTCACCTTTGTAGCGTTACTCGGAAATGGACTGGTTATCTGGATATTTTGCTCGTAAGTTTTACAAACAGCAGTTGAACATTGATAACAATAATATTATTTAACTTAGATAATAATGTTATGCGATATAAAATTTCAATAATAAGCATAATCCATTAGGAATTAACAAAATTTATTCTTCTAATAAGTCAGTTATAATTTTCTTTAGTATATGTATATTAGGATGGGTCGAAAAAAATAAATTTTTAAAAATTAATTAGTAATATTCCTCAAAAGTTAGTTAGAATCTCAATATGATTTGGTAAAATTTCATCGAAATCGGTTTATATCTTCAGGTTGTCTCTCGATCTTAAAATTAGCAAGTTTATGCATTTTTTAGATACACTAGCATTACAGACGCGTGCTTTGCGCGTGCTTTTTAACACTTCTTGTTTTGTAATTACACATCAACATTTACTATAATTCACTATTATATCATATCACCCTCAATACACACAACTGTCAAAATATACAATGACAACTGTTCAACCGAAGTAAGCATAATGAGACAACCAATCAGCATCACGGAAAAGCGGCAACAATATTTTGAGAGAATTTCGAAGGATGTTAATATCGATTTTATAAAATACTTCTTTTTAAAGAAGAGATGTGTCGAAAAAATATTTGAATTTTAATACAATTTGGTATTGTGTTGTTTTTTTGTCTAAATACGAGGTCAGAAGTATACATTTCAAAACGACAGATTCGAAATGTATTCTTCTACGAAATGTCCCATTTTAAATGATACATTAAAATTTCTTGAAAAATATGGTAAATACGAAAAAATGTTTCAAACAACAATTGTATTTGAAGAGGGACATAAGAAGATATCATTGATTTCATTTTGGGCGTTGTTAAGATTAAAACAAGATTATATCGATTTTTTTAAACGGAATTATATATTTTTTATATAATATGATTTCTCTATTTATTATTCTCTAATTATTCTGCATATAAAAGTATTAAAGTTATCGAAAAATCTATATTTTATACTTTATCATGTCATATTTCGATAAAAATATAAAATATCTCGTAAATTTGTATTGATTTTTTGATAATGATACCTAATACTTTTAGGCACAAAATAATGAGATGGATCGATTAATGTAAATAAAACACACAGTTGAAAAAAATGTAATTTGTAAGAAATGTATAAACTTACTAATTTCAAGGTCAATGGGCAACCTGAAGGTATTAATCGATTTCGATGAAATTTTATTCAGATCACATTGAGATCTATAACTAACTTTTGGAGGATATTATTAATCAATTTTTAAAAATTTATTTTTTTCGGCCCCCCCTAATGTGCTTATATTAATATAGTAGTTTTATATTATATATAAATTTAAAAATGCCAAAATTTTTATTCTATATTATTGTACCAAACATGTTTTACATCTAAATCTCTCTCCTTTCTTTATGTAGTGCCAAATCGTTAAGAACACCTTCAAATTTGTTAGTGATAAATCTAGCATTTTGCGATTTTTTCATGATGCTCAAGGCACCTATATTTATATATAATTCCTTCAATACTGGATTTGCTACTGGTCATTTAGGATGTCAGATTTTTGCCTTTATTGGCTCGCTTAGTGGAATTGGAGCTGGCATGACAAATGCTGCCATTGCATATGATAGATACAGGTATTATAGAATCATCAAGTAAAGATAAAAAAAATTTATTATAATATATGTGATAACTATGCATTTTTATATAATTGAACTCTTGGATTTATATAAATCTGAGATCAAAAGAGGAAGGTCATTAAAGTTGTTTTTTTAGCTCCATTCAGATTGGGCTTATATTGGAGGCCAAATTGATTTTTTAGATATACCTTATATTTTCCTTAAATCTTTTATAATTATGTAATAACTAAAAGTACTTTTTAAATACATGCTCTTAAAATTAATTTTTACATATATTTTAAGACGTGACCTCATTGTTAGTGAGTGTTGTTTCTGATAAGCTTCTCTATTTTCACTTTGTCACAATTTTCACATATAAATACAAGGATTTAAAAAAATCTTTGAGAATAATCATTCTACTCGAGTATGTTGACAATAAAATTCAGTCCTGAATACAAATATTTCTTGATTTATCGATTTATATTATAAAGGCATCAGAGTAGAATATAAAATGTTATTGTTGTTTTAAATAATTTTAAATAATTTATCCTTTTCAGAAAATATTTTCGTCTTATTCAATTTTATTTTTTACAGAATAAAGTACATAAATTAAATATATTGATTGAAATAAACAAAAAAGAGTTTACAAAGTACAATGTATATAAATACAAAATAATTTTCTCTCTTTTCTAAAGAAAGGCATGTTAATTAAATTGATACTCGCATTTATCAAAGTTTTGAAGTCTCTTTTCCTCGATTCTGATTGGTTCTGTCATTGCGCTTACTTCGCGAACAGCTGTCATTGCATTATTTTGGCAGTTGTGTGTATTGAGGTTGATAGAGTATATAATAAAAAGAGAAAAATGTTAAATAGCGCGCGCGAAGCGCGGGTCTGTAATGCTAGTGAGATAAATTTTGGATATATCCGTAAAAATTAAATGATTTATTTACAAATATGTTTAAAAAAATATTGTAAATAATATAATCCTTAATTAAATATTTGTTAACTTTTAGAAAAATCTGTGATAATTATTATATAACAAGTCTCACCAATGTTGATTTTAATATACATATATATTATAAAGATCATAACTCTCAACATCAATCAAAAGATTTTAGTCGTCGTTTATTAGTCGTTAAAAAGTTATTATTCATATTATTAACAAAGAAGTTAATATGTTATATGAATATATCTCTAATGTCATAATTTGAACTTTAATTGACATAAAATACAACATTGTTATCGAACATATATATATATATATATATATTATTGTTACAACATTGGAATCGAATATATCGAAAGTATTGTTGCCTCTTTTCCGCGTGTGTGATTGGCGGTCGGAGAGCGCAGTAATGATGATGTGACAGTTCGGTATTATAATGACGTGTGAAGTTAGCGTGGGGTGTATCGTTGTGCATATCGAGGGATTAATAGTGTAAAGGTGCAAATTCATGGAGACGCTCGTTTTAGCGTTAGGACCATGGCATACAGAAAAACTTAAGCAGTAAGACGTAAGCAGTAAAGAAAAGCAGTAATACTTATTCATGATGATATTAAGGTGCAGAAATATTTAATCAGTGGAATTGAGCAAGTAATTGTTTTGCATAAG